TCCCGGCGCTCCGCGCGCGGCGTCGCGGCTCCCTTCGCTTTCGGCGTCGCTGTTTGTCTGCGCGTGGAGGTGCCTCCAGGTTCATAAATCTGTATGCAGTAGTATGGGTTCTCTAACAGCAATTCATTTTAATTATGTGAGACATAAAAAGACCACCTACAGATGAGACAATACAGCTGTAAGATTCTCAAGGTTACTACGGGGAATACTTCATAACTGAAGTATGTTTTCCCTAAGGAATTCTACTACCATTTGATTTAATTTTTAATTTTTACATTTTAATCAAAAATAGATCAAATGGTGGTGTTATCTCCTGGGAAACATACTTCAGATATGAAGCAGTCCATGTTCCTTTTAAATATGTAAAGCTGCCATTTATGTATAACTCATGAATGACACCCTGTGTTGCAAGCAAATATCATGCGGCGATTTCTATATTGTTTCAGTAACAACACTATAATCATACACAAATATCACTACACCTGGTTCTGCAAAGCAAACGCCTTTAATAGTGTGAACTTCACAAGCTAATACAAGATATGGCTGGTGCTAAATAAGATCCATCATTTATTGAACGCGCACACGCTTATATTGGCAGGGACCACGTCCCATGGGGTATTCAAGCATCAAACAAGTTGTTAGCTGGGTTTCTAAAAGCCATTATGTGAGAACTCCGATCCAGAAGCCTAATACATTAGAGCATGGGCAGAGGGCGGCATTTCCAGGGTGGGATGGGGACCTGGGTGCACACGTGCTCGTGGAGCAGCAAACCGGCTCTTCGGTTTGTTTGGGAGTTTGGGAACAGGACAAGGTTGCCCATCTCCTGCTCCCTTGGGAACACCTAAGGAAGGCAGAACGGCCACGGATCAATCCAGGTGGGTCTACCTGGGAAGCCCACCGCTTTCCAGGAAAAATCGTCACCTCCAAGAAACCTTGGGAACAGGGACCTGTCCGCACAGGCCCCGCTTAGGGAACCCTGAGCCATCAGGTCTTGTCCAAAGAACTCTTTTCCATTGTCTTTCCTTCCCAGGCTTTCCAGCCATGTATCTGCATTCAAAAATCAGCAGGACACGTCTAAGGAGCGGTGCAAACGCCTGTACGTACCAGGCCCCAGGCATGCATATATCTTTATGTGCAGTTATTTTCTGCACAGGTTTCATGCACCATAAAATGTCAAGGTGTAACTTTTAATGTTATAATTGCTGCCAGCAGTCAAAGCAAATATAGTATTATTAATTTGTGACTATTAATCTGGTAATATGGGATATCATATTATGTTCTCAGGAACCATCCTATTAGATTCTCAGGAGAGTTGCCAAGGTTTTGTACGTACAGGCATTCTTTCTTCCCCAGTAACGTAGGCACAGACATCATTTGTTTTTAAATGTATTATTTCCAATAGATATAAATCTCTTGCCTTCATGGCCGAGGGCAGGCTCGCCTCGAGCCGCTCTCGTTCCGCGTTTCCCAGATCCTGCAGGATGGGAGCAGGCGCCCGCCGCGCCGCTCCGGACGGCCCCGCTCGCGCTCCCGGCGCCCATCCGCAACGCTCCAACCGGGAAGGAGGACACGGAGCTGGGAGCACCGAGCAGCAGCTGGAGAACACCAACACTTAACTCCATTAAACCAAACCTACTTCATTTCAAAATATTGATTTTGCATATTATTCATATATCTGCCTACTGAGGAGGAAAAGCCTCCTCCCCGTGTGGGCTACGCTTGGAAATGGCCCTTATTCTATAACAAGGTACAGAACCAGCTCTTATTTACCTTTATGCCTTGGTGTCTGCAGAACACAATCCCATTATTAATGGAATAATAAAAAAAACCAGCAAATTTCATACTGTAACCAAAGTGGTGTTTAATGATTCTGCTTTAGAGAGTAACAATTTACAAAATACAAAGTTCAAAATACTTGATTATATCATTTTTACTTGAATTAAAAACAGGCTGTCTAGCTTACTATACACATGTAAATAAAGTATCACAGAAGTTACTGTGTGTACAAAGCATACTATCAATATAAAGAGCATATAAAAATTATTAGTAAAGCAAAATTCCATAGTTATTACAAGGTGAAGAAATCTTACAAAAATAATTTTGTGGTAGTACCGCAGATCTGACACAAATCTGCTTTGAAGAAGTATTTACCTGCTCAAGCCTGCGCTGCATTCATCTGTACCAATTACAACAGCTTTATGATTCAGACAAATGGCAAATCTTGAAACAAATGACAAATACAGCACCTCTATTAAAAAATACCACTATTATAAGTCTTCAATATATTAAATTATTTCAAGTACTATTTATTTTCATACTGGCTGATTTATAAATGCATTGCTTAGTCCATTAGGAAAACCACCAAAATACCTTCTAGCCTAAAGACTTATTTTAAAGTTTACCTAGAAATGTATGAACTCTCATTTATGAAAAAAATAATGATGTTTCTAAAAACAACTGGCCAAAAATGTCAGTGAACACTCCAGAGTGATCAGAGTAGCAGCCATTTGACAAGGACCAAGGCAGTGATACATGGCAGATGCTGCTTAGCCCCACAAAGAAAGAAGAATTTAGCTTCATGAAATGAACACCACCAGTTATTTCACATTTGGATACTTTACATGGAATATGGTAAAATTTACATCTATGCAGAGTATTTTAGTCAGTAGCATCCCCAGAAAAGCAGTAAGTAAAATCAGGCCAAGTTTTTGTCAGGACTTCTGGTCTCTTATGATGAACAATAATTTAGAACACTGAATAAAAATTACCCTTCCTCCCCCTCCTACCTTCAACTGCAGTTCCTGGAGGTTTCTTATTTTTTCTTTCTTTCATTTCCTTTTTTTTTTTTTTTTTTTTGTGCAAGCCAATTCAAAAAAAAAAAAAAGAAGTTATTTTTAACTATTTTTAAACAATGCTAGACAGGGTAAACATAGACCATGTGACTTAAATGACTCTGAGTCAACACACACAAATTCTAGTAGCACAGCAATTATTTTTTACATAGTAAAATGCTTAATAAAAAGTGAAAAGTCATGTTTAACATTCTCCTGAGCACCAATATATTTCATATGGACAAACAACTGTGAAGACAGAAATGCCATTGAAAACTACTGGCATTTTCAGTGTTTTTGTAATATTGGATGTTCAAGGCCAAGAGGCAAGCAGTGAAGCAGTGCCCACAACGAGGCTGGTGGACAATCCCAATTCAGTGCACGTTTAGAACATTTCCCTTCAATGTGCCCTGTCCAGGTGACAGGAGCCACCTGAGCTTACAGGACATCCAGCTAGATGGTCTCAGCTGGCCCAGTCTGGTACTTCTGCAGTTAAATAACTGGGGAAAATTACCCTGGAAATTGAGAAGTTAGGGATGCAACAGTTAAAATACTCATAAAAGTTGAAGGAATAGAACGATAGAGACTGGTATCTGTATTTTTTCTGATCGAACAAAGATTTGAGGTGTTTGAAATATCTCACACTCTGAAAGAATTTATTTTCAATGTAACTAAAATTTATAATGTTTTGGAAGACATTTATATTTTCCTAATAAAATAGTTTAGGTGTCAACTTATTGCAGCACTGCCTTATCGACTCATTTCCTCCTCTATCACTTACTTGAATTAGATGTTTGCATGATACTAGTTTATTTAGGAAGAATATCTTCTTCAGGACAGCCAGTGCAGTGCCAGCTACAACTCGCACACCGTATGGAAAGCATTTACAAAAGGGTCGTGCTCCAGCAGCACTTCTACTGCCCCTGTACAGTGCTAAGCTGCATAGCTCTATCTCTGAAAGCAGAGTCCTCCCATTTCTGCCTCCTTAAATACAGCTCAGGTACAATTAGGGCCTGGCTGCATGTATGTAGTATGTATGTATGTGAATGCATGTAAACACAAGGATCGCTCCCCACGCCCGTGAGGGACGCTCACGGACAGGAACACATCTTGTTCGACCACAACCCTTGGCTCAGTCCCACGTAAGGACGAGATCAAAATCCAAATCAGCTCAACTATTCTAAAAAGTTAAACCATGCACAGTGTCGCTTTTTTTTTTTTTTCTCAGACTGAGCTGTCTTAAAAGCAGGAGTATATTTCAAGTGTAAAGCCAATGAGGTACAGACTAGTGCAATGGAGGAGTAACGCGTACAGCAAACTGCTTTACCCTTAATAGCACACACGGATGCGCAGGTCCGGCAGCACAGAGTTCACACCTGCATCCTTGGAGTGCAAGCAGTGCTGCTGATCTGCCTCCTCCCCATCTCTACGAGTGCAGAATATGACTGAAGTGTCCCTGAAACGACAAAGTGCCAAGTCATTAAAAGTTTGCTGATTAAAATATTTTCTTCTTAATTCTTTTAATAATGTGTTTTCAAGCTTCTCAAAAAAAAAAGTAGAAACTACACCAGCTCCACCAACAGTCCCCTTCTCCCTGAATAACTTGCTGACAACTACAAGAATGTGAAAAGTAAAGGGAATTCTCAACAGAAGCTGTGTGAGGAGCAGGACTGCACTATGACTGCAGCTTTGCACATCAGGTTAAACTATGACCACACAGAACACAGGCAATTTTAGCATCATGCAGATATCTGTAACACCAGATGTTTTACTCCAACTCCTAAGTGTTTAAAGATTTTGAAGACAGGACAGAGATTTATTTTCTGATTACCTATGGTATTTAAAACTTAAATTTGCACTTGTTTATATCACATTTTAAAGTTTTGTGTCAATTTAAAAGCTGTATTCATAGTGTTACTTTTAAAACAAGAAAATTCACCTCTAGTTATCATGTAGCACAGGAAAATCTTAAGGACAGCATTTCCCCCACCTAAATCCTACCTAGCTTCCTTCTTTCTACCTAGCACCACTTCTAAGTCTTTGCCTAAATAGCTAAAAACACATTAGTCAAAAGAAAAGCTTCTAAATGACGGTTTGAAGTTGTACTCTCTCTTTTCAAGCTCAGGTTTAGTACAATTCTATCATTCCTTCCGAAGCACAGTAGTGCTAACATGTAGGAAAGAGGCCTGAAGGCCAAGAGAGCAAACCATGATAACGATGCTGTTCCCAACCATGGAGAGAAGCCCAAGGTTGGGCAGGACTGAGTCAGACCCCGATGTGCTCCGGAGTGCTGATGCTGGTGAAGTTGCTCATATTACCTATTAGCTCCTTAAATAGCAGGATTTCCAGGTGCAAAATACAACGCTGATGAGGCTACCTACAGCCATGAGAACCTGTCTCTGCTGAATGTGCTGCATGTTTGACATGCCCCGCTGTGGATGCTTTAGTTATTTGAATTTCCCTATCGCCTGTAGAACGCAGCTTCTTATCAGAACTTTAACATTTATTGATTACAAAAATAAATGGCAAATTATTAATCTTTTTCTGCCTGTAGGCCTCTTCCTCATGCTCATTTCAGCTGTTCTGAATGGCTTCCGAATGTGGCATTTACTGCTGTGATAGTTTCTGGTTTTCCCAAAGTGAAACTGTAACTTTAAAGAAAGTTATCTGGGCTAATACCAGTTTACTAAGCATCAGCTGCTTAATAGAAGCTTTGTGTTATTTTAGGAATGAAGATAATTCACTAGAGTAGTCCCTGCTAAGTTTATCAAAGCATACTTTGTTACGATAACGGCCACAAACAACAGATGACATAGACAGAACCCAGCGAATAAATCCATATGCCCAGTTGGTTCCTCACTCGGGAACACAAACACACCCGAGGCAGCTTCCGTGGGAGCTCAACACGCACTCAGCTGCCCTGGCCTTGTCCTTGTGGGGCATTAGGTCCAAACTGGCAACTTTCCTACCGGGAAGGAGCAGGGAGCCTCTCCTCACTGCTGGAGCAAGCAGGCCTGTCCTTCTGCACAGGCTGGAGAACTGAGTATTGACACTAACTCCCTTCTTCCACTACCAAACACCACATTTTAATCGTTAAGCTCTAGTCTGTTCCTGACATTATGATTTCCTGCAGTAGACACAGATAAACTCTTACCCTACTAGAGGGCACACAAATGAAACTCTGATTTCCACAGATTTGGTCACATTTAAAAATCACCCTGCTTCGAGTTCAGCGTTTCCTCACTCCAAGTCGATGTTATGTGGCAAATCGATATCAAGTCTAGCATGTAGCTCTGCAAGAGCTTCAGACTTTGATAACAATAAGTTGACATGATGCAAGGAAACCATAAAGTGTCAGGCAAAATAATGGTTCAGTTTTAAGAAATCAAATTCTTACTATGTAAGGATAAAATTGTTTTCCTTAATTCCTGTAATTAGAACTGGTCTTGACAACTAGAAAACATTTAGAGTGGTCAGAATAAGTCATTCATTATATCAAGTTTCAATACATTAATGCATGTAAGAGGCGAACTCTACTTTCCAAACAAGCCACTGAAGAATACTTCAATCTGATATGACTCAAAACAGAAATGGGGCTATTTGAAATAAAGATGTTTATACTCATTGTACATAAAGCCAGTCACAATTTCCAAAATTAACTGGTCACTACTACAAAAGAACTTTACAAACTGTAATACGGGCACTGGGGTTCTACAACATGACAAAACTGACTTTCAAGTATGCCAACCTGGGCTTCAACCCCAAGATGTTCTTTAAGAGCTCCATGCCCTCAAGGATGGTAACACATTTGAAAAGCTAAAAACAGGCAGTTCAAATATGTGGTCACATTAATTTCTGTATTCTTGGAGACAGCCATGGATCTGGTTTCTATTCTGTTTTTAAGGGTGAGTAGAAATAGATCAACACAGATAACAAATGGCTTTTTAGCTACAACTCCTGACCTCTGAGAGCAACCCAAGTCCTATAGCAGTGAATGGGAATTTTGCTATTAATTCCATCAAAGACTTCACTATAAACATCCAGGCTTTCTAAAGAAATGCATGGCATTCCCCAAATCTCTCCTCATAACTGGCTCTCTAAAGAATCCCCTGTGTTTCAAAAGGATGCAGAGGATGCAAACAGAAGCTCGCACTTGGAGAGACTTCCTAAACTTTGGCTAGACAATTTGCATGAAACACGAAACTATAAAAACACCACGATCTCTTTCAGTTTCCCATCTTTGAAGGCTTTAGCCTTTTATCCTGGGAAAAAGAGTATGGTTAAGATCATCTGTAGTGGGAAAGTCTGGTGCTACTGCTGCAGTATTATGGCATATTACACTGTGCCAAATTACAGCTGGCACTACAGCCTACATATATATATATATATATATAAAAATTAATAATTAGCTTGCTTAGATAACAAGAGGAGCCTATTCGTAGCAGCACAGAACTCAGCACCACTCAACTGCCCGAGTACTTACGCTGATCTTCAGAAAACTCAGGTTGCCTGTGCTGAGGTCTGGTTGCCATTGATTCTTTAGTTAACTGGTTTAACATCAGTGCTGGCATGCCTACCGTGTAATATTTAGATTACTATTTTTTTTGGCAAGGAAGTATCAAGTTGGAGCTAAAAAAAAAAAAAAGAAAGGAAATAGAATTCCTGAATATTTTATCATCATCAGATAAATCCAGAAAGATATAAAAATGGGGTAGAGGAAGTTGTGTGTTATTGTGGGCCTTAGTTACTTCCTAAACTCTGCTTTTTAGAGTGAAAGTGAAAAATGTGTTTGCAGTCTCTGTATTTTCCAACTGATGCTGGAAGAAACCCATTAGTTTGCACTCTGCTGGCACACCTCAGAAGTGCTAAATCAATCTGCCCTTTTTTATTTACATGCTTTATTTCTGAGAAATGTAATTGCGGTTTTTATTAACTTTATGTTTTATGGATCTAATACTTAAGAACAAGTCTATCTTTTATGTCATGGAAAGAAGGTTAATATACTTACAGATTCTCCAGCCATACATCTTGGGCAAGGCTGGGCAGTACCTCTGCTTCCATGGTTTTCAAAAACCTAATTAATAAAAACACATGCAAAACCACCAAAAAAGCAATTACTTGCAATTTTATTATAAAACATATATTAAATATATTCTCCTAATAAATAGATATTGTTGATGATGGAAACGTACCATTGAATCTTGATTCATCTTTGCAGCTTGAGGAACACAGTCAGTGGAGACTTTCTCTTTAGAATCCAGCTCCATAGCCCAACCAAGGAAGCCAACGTCGGCCCCCCGTGGAATGGTTTCTACCTGCTTGCATACTCGCTTCTGCAAGAATTAAAGGCCATATTGACATACGTTTGCTAGGTGTGGGCCATTGAATGTAAGTTGTTGTATTTTTATTGTTTATGACCTGATAGAGACCTCCCATTCACCAGGAATATCTTGTATGTAGAATGAGACCTCACAGACACTGCTCGAGAACTCAAAAATTTTGCCTCTACCTTAGAGCCCCATGAGCAGGGAAGTCTGTAGATAATATTAAATGTCTCTGTTTTCAGTTACATAAAATGAGTATAAAATGCCACTGGGAAATGAAGATACACGGATATACTTCACCATGCATTAGTGTATAATTCAGGATGGGGCTTATCAAAGGAGCGGATCATGGGAAGTGGTGTGAAACAGCTAATTAAGTCAAGGAAACGGAAGGAAAACCCTGAAGCCAAGTCAGACAGTTTTGAAGATATATTTTGCAACAATTTCTTTACATCTTTTTTCTGAATATTGTCACCTTCTAAAAGCCTTCTGCTGCTATAAAACGAATTAACTTCCTACTTTTCACCTGAACTGTTGTCTGGTATCGAATGACTTTGAACGACTGCATATCACACGCACCCCCCTCCAGAGAACAGCTTATCCAGAACGGGGGTGTCCTCCTCGCACCCCGAGCCAAGACCAAGGGTGTTTTTGAAGAGCACTGCCTTAGCACGCTGCGAGAAGCTGCTCGGGAGCCGGTAAGGTGCAACCTGCAGAAGAGATCTGCCATGAGCAGATCATCCGGGGCTTCGAGGGCTATCCCACGCCGTGGGAGGACCAGCCAAATCCCAGGGTCTCCTTGAAACTATAGCATCATATCAACGGAATAAGGGAAAAAATTCCAAACTGACACAGGTATTACAGGGTTCGACTCTGGCAGAATTCCAAAGAGACAAGAGATGTTTTTAAAATTTCTTTCTGATACTTTTCTGTACAAACTTTGTTTTAGGAATAACAATATTCGATCTCTTCCACAGAGAGCAGATGAGTTGCCGCAGAACTAACAGACTACTGAAGCACAAAAACTAAATTTTAAATTTGAATACGTTATGTAAAAATAAAATGGATCAATCCAACAGGAATCTCGGAGGAAAACAGTTGAAACAAGAACACTGGGAAGGAATAGAAGATATTTGTATGGGAGGTAAATCAAAAAGTGAAATATGTATTGTACTAAGAAAGTGAATAATATAATAACAAAAAGTCAGAGAAAGTCCTCTAAAGATAGACTTCCCTCCACTGGGAAAACCTTCTCCTGCCTTTGTTGCTGCGGAACTCGTCCTTTATTGAAAGCTACAGCATGGTGGTACAGCAGCATAACCAGCAAGATGTGAGAGATGAAGGAGAAAGGGGAAAAATGATTTACTGCCACACATCAGAAGAAATTTGACTTGTTAAAACTAAATTCAAAGTATTGGGTTTTATTCTGGGGGGAGCAGGAGTTAAGATACTTAGTACCAGCGACAGAAACTCTGCATGCAGAGCAGCTAGCTGACAATCCCATCACAGCCGTGTTCCTAGAAGAGCCCGGCTTCAGGGAAGGCTCCGTTCCCTTGAATTCTCCCTCTTGGTAAAGAAACAATCGATACCTCAATCCTGCCTGCCAACAGAACACATTTAAAAAGTGCATTCCAAACGCATTCCAAAGGTTTTGATAATGAAGATCAACAGGTTAGCTGTTCAAAAGGCAAGTGAGGATTTCGTTGAAATGACTCATTTTGCTAGGGAATAACCATGCTACACCCAGCCTATTCGTACAGCTCAAGACAAGTAACAGCAAATCGGACACAGTCCTAGAACAGGTAGGAAGCCGGCCCATCTGGGGAGAGGATACTCTCTAACTTCTTTAGGAAAAAACACGCCTGTAAGAGATGTGCCAAAAAAGAGCTACTTTATTGCTGCTAAAATGATGGAGACCTCACAAAAGCTACTTTTCATGAACGATGAAACTAAACAGGTACAAAAACTGGCTACCCACAACTAACCAACCTGAACGAAAGTGAAAACGATGGTTTTAAGACAGACCACCAGCTTCTGTTAAACGTAAGACTGTTAGGATCTCCTATGCATATTTTTGTCACAAACCATTTCTGCGCTGTTTGTCAACTTTTTAAAAGCCTGTCTGGCTTGTGTGTTTCACAAACAGGTCCCCAGGCTCAGATGGGCTCTCCGCCCGGCTCGGCCTTGCACCTCCAGCACTGCTGGTACCTTTACATAAAGCACGGTCACATAAAGGACGGTGACCTTGGTTAGCCTGCGAAAGAGATGCAGACGGTTTGGGATGGTATTTGGGATGGTAACAGGGACATGAGGTACTGCGGGGTCTTGTCCTGGAAAACCCCGTCCCGGAGCGACAGGCAAGTGACACTCAGGCCCGGTTCTGGCAAGAGCCCAGGAGCTCTGCAGAGGCACCGAGGTCCCTGCTCGGGTGTCCTGCTCCCTGCGCCGGCCGTGGCAGGGACCGAGCTGCTCCGTCATGGGC